CGCCACAGTCGGTACCCGTTTAGACTGGCTGGCTGATGAGATGAGGCTCCAACAGCAAGTAGGGCCCCCCTGGGGGCTCTGATTGGAAGGTAGCCAGCACTCCCGCCCTGCCGCCTGGGCCCGCAGCTCACATTCCTCCAGCTCGGCCTCCAGAGGGAATACACACATTTGTGTAGAGTGGGACTTGGAATTAGGCAGATGCCAGGTACTACCAGTAACTTGGTCCTGTGACCAAGCCTCTCCCAACACTCACCCTGGTCCAGGTCCTTGGCCACCCTGACCTGCGTATCCGTGCATGTGCCGTTCAAATCTGTCAGCCACTCTCAGGCAAGCGGGGCTCTCCACGCCTGTGGAGTAGGGCCCACCCCCAAACATGGGCATAGCTGCAAGGATGGAGAGAACCCACCCCCCAGTCCTCACTGTGGCAGCCCCTGAAATGGGTGAAAATCAGTGTCATGTAGTCTTACTGTCCGCTGGACACCCATGGCCCATTTGTGATATCTGGCCTCTCCTACTCTTGGCCTGCTCCATGCCCCTGCCTACCATGACCTGCATGGCCCACGTATGCACCCTACACACCGTCAGCTGACCTCTGGCAGCCACCCCCCGGGGTCCCGGGGTTCTGCAGCAACCAGGGCTCCAGGCGTCCCTCGTTGGAGGCAACCCTGGCTTGTCCAAAACAGCCCTGGCAGGGCAGTTCAGATGACCCCAGTTAGGTCCTCAGTGGGAACATGCACATTCGTGTAGGTTAGGGCTGAGCATCAGGCAGTTGCCCCATCACCCCAAGAGCCCACTCCAGTGCTCTCGCCTCGTTCGGATCCTTCGCTACGCTGATCTGCACCACCAGCATTTGTGTAGTCCACCCCTGCAGCCCCGCCCTGCAAGCCGGTGCACTCCGGCCAGGCCTCACTCACCCCTGCATGGAGGCAGCCCCCCGAGCGAAAATTGCCCTGGGGTGGCAGCAGCAAAAAAATGGGTAACAGTCGGTCCCCAGTTAGTCTTGCTGCCCGATGGGATCCCTGGCTACATGAGGAACCAGGACTCCCAGGTGACTCCTAATCAACGGATACCCTGTCCTGCCTGGCCAGCTTCTTCCTCACAAGGGAGTTGAAAGCCTCCAGCTGTGACTTGGGGAGGGGTGGGGGGCAATATTCCACGATGGTAGGTAAGCCTTGCTATGAGGCCGAAGTTCCGAACCCCCGAGGGCCCTCTCTCATGACCCGGCCTCTCCTGACACTTGCCCTGTCCCAGGTCCCTGACAACGATGATCTACTCATCCTAGGCATGCACATTTCATATCACATCAGCCACTCTTGGGCGGCTGGGGCCCCCCAGGCCTGTGGAGCTAGAGCCCGTCCCCAACTACTTGCAGTCTCAAGGATGGAGGGAGCCCACCGCCCCCCTCGGGACATCGCTCTGTGGTGGCTGCTGAAATGAGCAACAGTCAGTGCCCACATGGACTTCCTGTCCGCTGGGTTCCCGGGCTTCTGAGGCAATCAGGGTTCCCAGGCGGCTCTTAGTGGAAGCTCTCCTGGCCGGTTCGGCTGATCCGACCCCAGCAAGGCTCTACAGATGACTCCCGTTAGGCCTTCAGTGGGAATAGGTGTATTTGCATAGGTTAGGGCTCGGGGTCAAGCAGTTGCACTGTAACCCCAAGAGCCTGCTCTTAATACCTGAATTCTCGCATTGCCGGCTCGTTGGCTGCACTGACCATTGTGATCCGTGCATGCGCACACGTACACTGTCAGTTGGCCTTTGGCAGCCTTCGCACTCCGGGCCCGTGGAGCTTAGGCCAGGCCCCAACCATCTGTGTTGCCTCTAGGGCGTAAGGAGGCCACCCTCCAAAATCTGAGTTGGAGCATTACATTGGCAACAGGAAGCCCCTATATGCACTTTATTATGCCTTCTGGGGTACTGAGTGGATCCGTCATCAAGGTTCACAGGTGTCCCTTAGTGAAGGACTCCCAGGCCATCCCGCGCCCACTGCCACACCCTGGTAAGGCAGTCCAGATTCCTCGAGCTCTGCCCTCAGGGTAATATGGGAACTTGTGTGAGTTGAGGCTTGCAGTTAGACGGAGGCCTTGCGTTCCCAACAGCCTGCTCTCATTACCAGGCTTCTCCCAACGTTGCCCGTCAAGGGCCAGGCTTCCCTGACCTACAGGGCCCACACTTGGGCAGTCTGCCCTCTTTGAGCAGTCTTGAGCAAGTGGGGGCCCCTCCTGCTCAGTGGAGCTCTAACTGGTCCCCAGCCACGTATATAACATCCTGGTTGGAGGGAGACCACCCTTTGAAAGTCCTTGGGAGGAGGCAGCTTTATACTGGCAACGTTGTCGTCATTCACACTGGCCACAGGATGGAGTCCCTGGCTTTTCCAGCTATCAAGGCTCCAGGTGTTCCTTAGTGAAGACCACCCCCAGCGAGTCGGACCCCAGGCCCCCACACCCCCAGATCCCCATTCTGGTGAGGCAGTCCAGATTCCAACAGTTTTATCTTCAAGGGAAGTATGCCCATTTGTGCCTGTTAGAGCTTGGAAGTAGGAAGATAACCATGGATCCCCAAGAGCCAACTCCAGACCCTAGATTCTCTTGACATTGCCCAGTCCCAGTCCCTGGATTCGCTGATCTGTCTGATCTGCATGTATGAAGTATACACCCCATCAGCCACCCTTAGGCATCCTGGGCCTCTAAGAGCCATGGCCCCTCCCCAACCACCTTTATGTAGTTTCAGGTATGGAGTGAGCCCGCCCACCATTTAGCACTCTGAGATAGCTGCTGAAATAGGTGAGCCTGTCCCGTTTGGACTTACTATCTGCTGGGGCCCCAGGCTTCTGCACAATCAAGGCTCCCAGGTGTCTCTTATTGGAGGATACACAGACCAGCCCCACTTCCCACTCCCCCCCACCGCCAGCCCTGACAAAGCAGTCCAGAATCCCCAGTGCAGCCTTTGCAGGGAATATATACATCTGTGTAGGTTAGGGTTTGGAATTAGGCAGATGTCTTGGATCCATGGTAGCCCGCTGCCGTGCCTGGCCGATCCTTACACTCACCCTGTGCCAGGTCCCCGGCGACCTTGACGGCTATGAACTGCATGTGCACAGTATGTGCCCTACCAGCCAAACTTGGGCAGCCAGAACTCTCCAGGACTGTGGAGCTCAGGCCCATCCCTAGCCACCTGCATGGCCTCGAGGGTGGGGGAACCCACCTAAAGATCGCTCTGAGGCATCAGCTCTGTGGACTGGCTGGCTGTCGGGGTCCTGGGCCTCTGCTGTAATCAAGGTGTCTCTTATTGGAAGATACCCTGACTAGGCCTTGAAATCCAGCCCTGGCAAGGCAATCTACACTCCTCCGGCTTTGCCTTCTTGGGGAATATTTACATTTATCCAGATTAATTAGATGCCATGGATCCCCAAGAGACCCCCCCCCCCTTGAGATCTGGTTCTCCTGACACTGCCCAGTTCCAGGTCCTTGGCTGCCCTAATCAGCGCAGACCCTATCAGCAGTCCTTCCTGACCACCTACACAGCCTCCGGGGCAGAGGGAGCGCCCCTCGAAACCTTTCTGAGGAGACAGCTTGAAACTGGCGACAGTCCCCATTTGGACTGGATGCCTAAGTACCCTGAGGTATCCCGGTTTCTGTAGCAATCAAAGCTCCCAGGTGTCTCTTAGCGAAGGCTATCCCAGCCAGTGTGCCCATCCCACCTTGGCAAGGCAGCCCAGGTTCCTCCAGCTTTGCCCTCAGGCAATATGTGCGTATGCATAGATTAAGGCTTAGAATTAGGCAGAGGCCTTGTGCTCTCAACAACGCACTGTGGGAGCAGCCATCTGACTGGGGCACTGCGCTTGGCCCTTGCATGCACTGCAGCCTGCCTGGGGCACCGGAGGCCCTCCAGCCCTGCGGAGCGCCTGCTGGTCTCTAGCCATCTGTATGGCCTCCATGGTGGAGAGAGCCCGCCCCCTAAAATCTCCTAACTGGTTGCTTCATACTGGACAAAGTCCCCATTTGCTGGCTGCCTGATGTGGTTTCGGGTTTCTCCAGCAATCCAGGCTCCCATGTCTCTCTTACGGAGGATAAGGGGGCCAGCCATCAGGCCTGCCTTGGCAAGGCAGTACGGAGTCCTCAAGCTTTGCCTTCAGGGCAACTGTGTGACTGTGTAGGTTAGGACTTAGAATTAGGCAGATGCCATGGTACCCCAAGAGCCTGCATTTTAGAGCTGGCCTCTCCTGACACTCGCCAGCTGCAAGTTCCCTGGCTTCCTTGACCTGCACTGCCCACACACGCAGAGTGCACACTGCTGGCCAAACTCGAGGCAGCTAGAGCCCTCGGGCCTGTGGAGTTCAGGCCCATCCCCCACTGGCAGCTCTAACCTGGTAACATCAAGTCATCATTTTGACTGTCTGCTTGATGGGATCCAGGGCTTATCCAGAACCAAAGCTCCCAGGCGTCGCTTAGTGGAGGACCTCCCAGCTAGCCTGCCTGGCCCTGCCCTGGCAAGAATGTTCAGATTCCTCCAGCTTTGCCTTCAGGGGGAGTATGCATATTTGTCGAGGTGAGGGTTTGAAATAAGGCAAATGCCATGGACACCCATGGCCCATTTGTGGTATCTGGCCTCTCCTACTCTTGGCCTGCTCCATGCCCCTGCCTACCATGACCTGCATGGCCCACGTATGCACCCTACACACCGTCAGCTGACCTCTGGCAGCCACGGTCCTGTAGACCTATGGAGCTCAGGCTGGTCTCCAACCACCTGTACAGCCTCGTCTGGTGGGAGTCCACCCATGAAAGTCGTTGAGGCTGTAGCTTACAGCTGGCAACAGTCAATCCCCGTTTTGATGTGCTGCCTGATGTGGTACCAGGCTCCTACAGAAATCAAGCCCCTCGGGTGTCTGTACTCGGAACATAACCCGGGCCAGCTCTGCAGGTGAAACGGGGTCATCAGCTGGAGGATGATAGGTCACAGGCTTGCTGAGCCTTACCACAGAGCTCGGAGGCTTTCAAATGAAATACGTTTAAACTATTTTATTAATTTAAAAAATACAAATAGAAACAATAACATTACCACCTTCAGTGATAGGAAGTCCCTGGAACTTCTCTGCCAACCCTTGAAAACGAACTGGGAAACTTAAATTTACCTCACAGGAGAAAAACCTCCAAAGTCCAGAGACAGTTTCTGATTCTACACCAGTTTCTTCTAGAAGTCTGGTATCACTCAAGAAGCAATTCATCTTAATGCAGAATGTTGAGTTTTTCTGTGATAAGAATTAAAGTGATGTATGGTATCATGTATGGTATCATATGCCCACAAGGCCCTGTTCTAAGTCAAAAAAACAAACTGCGAAAGTAATGAAAGATGAACTACCAGATACACAAAAGAAAACCTGGAAACTTGAAAAAACAAAACAACTGAATAAAAATTAACTTAAGAGGACATTAGATAATACATTTTAATTATTTTACATTTAAAAAATATAAAGTTTTATGTTTAAAAATAATCATTTTATTCATGAACAGACCCAAAGCTAATATACTGCTCCTTTTTAAAGTAAGTTTTGAAATAGTGGATAGAAAACTGACAATAATTTCAGTTGATTGCACTTGCACATGGAAAGAAAGGTTTTTTTTTTTAACAAAGGCTAAACATTAAAAAAAAATGCCACTTTAAAATCTTTTTCTAAATTATATTGGAAGGAAATGATGAAAAACCATATTCAACTGAACAAAGAAACAAAAATTTTTGTTTTGTCGGTGATCCGAATCACTGGTAGATGAGATAGATATGCACATTTCATACTGGTTCCTTACAGATCTGAGGTAGCACAGGTCAGCAGGCCAACAGAATAATTCTACAAGGCACCATTGGTTTTGTGTGACAGAATGCTAGCTGGCACCTGAGACCTACAAATACAGAAAAAAATTCAAATATGGTATATAAATTTTTCTTCACTTTTCTGATTTTATATTGGATTGATACTGATATGATAGTCACTATGCTTTGTCTTTTTGTTCAGGAAGGTCTCTCCTCAAATCTATTTGAGAGATTCCTTCACAAAGTCGCAAATGTAACTAGTTCTTTCAGGTATGTCCCTATACTCAACTTAACTGCTTAAGGCCCTGGTTAGAACAGATTTATATGTTTTTCCTGTGACAGATATTTTCCAATAGATTCTCTTCTCCCATGTCTCTGTAATCTTTTAGGGATCAATAAAGATCCCTGTATCTTCCTAGTGTTTCCAAAAATCCTTCCATGTTTTAATCATGTGACTTGCTTCATGCTTTAATCGTCAAAATGCTTAAAGCATGAAGGAAGTCACATGATTTAAGGATGGAAGGGTTTTAGAAACACTAGGAAGATATATATACATACATATTCTGCTCCCACAACAGCAGAGAGGCCAAAACCTAGTTGCAATATTCCAGGATCATGGTGATGGTTCCCAGGTATGCCACGTCATGGAACAGACCCTTCATTAGGTCAAGATAATTTTAGTAGTGTTCTGCCTTCAGAGCTGCAATGCAAATCAACAACTACTGTCTCCATAAACACTGTTCTCAATCTTTCTTAGAATCACAGAACATGGCTCAACAACTAATACTGGCCATTAAAACCTCTTAGAATCTATTTACCATGTCTGCTTCCTTTTGCAAAGTATAAGATCTCTTACATTTATTTAATTGTTAACCTAATGGCATTTCTAACCATCTAGTCGAGAAATGAGCTGCATTATGGGTAATGTGTCATCACCGTGTAACAAGTGAACAGCCTGGTGCACAGTTATGCAACTACACCCATATAAAACCCACTATTCAATTAGTTATTAAACTCTGTTCCGCTTAAACGGCACTCAAACTCTCATCCTAGATAACTATAAACTTCCATTCAGGGGAAACAGAAATGATGACTAACAGAAATTAACAATAGCATCAGAAATATGCTTAGCAAATACTCGCTTATACATTCTTCTTTTCATCTGTAGGTCTTTATCTTTCATAAATAGCATGTCTGTACAATAAACCTATATTTCATCTTCTTCCAACTCATAAGCTTTAATACATTCATTATTTTCCTACCCATTTTCCTATCTTCTAAGATTTTTTTTCACTTCATCAGCGATTTTCAAATTTCATTATCAGTGGAACTCTCTGTTCCAATGGAATCTTATGGAGACTCCCACTACATAAAGCAGTCAAAAGCAGAACTGCTCTGATAAAAAGGAGGGGGTTGTCAGTAGACACAGCTTAGAAACCACTGCTCTAAAACATTCAAGAAAGCTGAAGAAAGATAGGGGCCGTTGGAATTTCTTCATTTCCAATGATTATAAACAATTTCCCCCTTGTTTCCAATTTTTAAGAACATTTCTTAAGGACAGCAGCTTTTACCTCAGCCCATTAATGGAATAAAAGCACAGTGCCTTACATATAGCTAAGTATTTTAATTCACACTTCTTTTCACACTATTAAAAAATGCAAATTAGTATAAGATGTAATCCTATGACTAAGTTATTAAAATCAGTTTTAAAAATATATAATATGTGATAGAAAAAACATTTTTTAAATTACCATTGCTTCATAACTGTAATTGCTCTAGTCCGAGTCCAAACACTAGCCAAAAGGCTCCTTATCAAGGAAACAAAAATCACTCTGTAGTCATTCTGAGAAGATTTTATCTTCTCATGCAATGATTCTGTGGCTATATTTTTGGATTAAAAAAAAAAGCTTCAGTTACATATTCTATGCATATTTTAAACCTGATTTGCTTGAAAGGCCAGGAAAAAAAGGTCAAGTTTTGTCAAACTTAGGAAAATAGTACACAAGTTAAAAAAATGAAAATTCTTTTCTAAAATAAGCTCATTTGTGCTTTCCAGGCTTTTCATCAACTTCCTTCCACAGAAACAGGTTTTTAAACTGATTTTTTAATAAATCCATGCCTTCAGAAACCAATTATAAAACGCACCCCTGTTCCTCTATGTTCCTCACAGGCTGGACGGGCAGCACCAGGTGTGAAATGCGGCTCCAGAGCCCACTCAGTTTGTCCGAGTCCATGCGGTTGAAGGAGCGGGGAGTGTCAGAGTTGGTAAACCTGGCCCAGAGTAAATCTCTCACTTTTTCCTCAGTTTCCCTTGGGCCAACACTTGCTTCTAATGTCTCCTCCTCCAGGAGAACAGTCAGGACCAGGGCCACGTCCTTGAAGGCGGCATTCTCGTGGTCACAATACTTGTAGAAGATCAAGGTAGAGCCCGCAGGAAGGGATTCAAAGTGGTGTATCACAGCAGCCTTCTGGCCATTCTCGAATCCCGAGCTCAGCTGCACGTCAACCAAGCGCTTGACCGTGTCACTGTCCTCCAGGGTTCTTCCAGCCCCATCAATCTGAATGGCGGAGACTTTCTGGGAGGAGGTGTAGGCATCCGCAACGAGGTGACTCAGGCACTTCAGGGTCTCTCTTCCCTCTTGAGCTGCTGTAAATATGATGGTGGCCGGCTCGGTGGGGTTTGAAGCATTGAGGTGCCTCTGGAGAAATTTACGTCCTCTCTGCCACAAGAAGGAACTCTGGCCTGGGAATTTATCCTTCAATTGGCTGAACTGAGCCAAAAAGGCCTCCAAAGCTGGATTTTTGGGCACTTGCTGGGCTGGAGAGGAATAGTAGCTATTAACACAACTTACCGAAATAATAGTCAGAACCAGGAAGACAAGAAAGATGGAGCCTGTCAGAAAATGGGAAAACAGAACACAAAATTAGAACGTGGATCAGAAATAAAACCTGGGGCAAACTGAAACGAGTTAGAGATACTGTCAGATTTTATTAGTTGTGGTGAGTTTCTTTTGCCTATATCCTTTAAAGTTTGAGATATTAAGGTCTACCAGAAATACTTATTCTCTAATTTCTTAGATTTAATTATTTGAAGATATAATATTTTTGTTAAAAGGTGAAAGCTAAGTTTATGTATTTGTTGCTATAACATTATAATGATGTGATTTGGAAATGAACTATCAGGATCGTCTTCCACCTTCTCAAAGTACCTACTACCTACAATAAGCCATTCTTTCCTTAAGGGTCAAAATGTAAAAATGCCACTTGAGAAATTAATAAATACTCTGCAATTAAAAAGCAGTTTTAGATATGAGGAATTCTTAATCTCAGGAAACAAACTGAGGGTTGCTAGAGTGGTGGGTGGTGGGAGGGATGGGGTGGCTGGGTGAAAGACGCTGGGGAGGGTATGTGCTATGGTGAGTGCTGTGAATTGTGCAAGACTGTTGAATCACAGATCTGTACCTCTGAAAATAATACAATATATGTTAAAAAAAAAAAAAAAGAAGATAGCAGGAGGGGAAGAATGAAGGGGGAGAAATCGGAGGGGGAGACGAACCATGAGAGACGATGGACTCTGAAAAACAAACTGAGGGTTCTAGAGGGGAGGGGGGTGGGAGGATGGGTTAGCCTGGTGATGGGTATTCAAGAGGGCACGTATTACATGGAGCACTGGGTGCTATGCACAAACAATGAATCATGGAACACTACATCAAAAACTAATGATGTAATGTATAGTGATTAACAAAATGATAAAAAGAAAAAAAAAAGCAGTTTTAGTTTCTTATTCACGAAAAGCTTTTCCTCCTATGGGAATTCCCATTTTGTTAAGGATGGCAAAGTATCTGCCAGGGCCCCTAAAGGAAAAATCCTTAAAACTCTACTGCTCTATTTCACTATTACTTATTATCAAACATTTTTAAAAAGCATATTAAAACAAGCCACAGTAATTAGACACAAAAAAGAAACAAAAGGCTTCCAAATTGGTAAGGAAGAAGTAAAATGTTCACTATTTGCAGATGACATGATACTTTATACAGAAAACCTTAAAGACACCCCCAAAAAACTACTAGAACTCATAAATGAATTCACTAAAGTTGCTGGATACAAAATCAATGTGCAGAAATCTGCTGCATTTTTATACACTAATAATGAAGCAGCAGAAAGAAAAATCAAGAAAACAATCCATTTACACATCAAAAATAGTATATTTTTAAAAATAGGTTTGGAATAAACCTAACCAAAGAGGTGAAAGACCTGTACTCTGAAAACTAAGGAACGCTGATGAAAGAAACTGAAGATGACACCAAGAAATGGAAAGACATTTCATGTACATGGATTGGAAGAAGAAATATTATTAAAATGGCTATACTAAGGCACCTGGGTGGCTCAGATGGTTAAGCGTCTGCCTTCGGCTGAGGTCATGATCCCGGGGTCCTGGGATCGAGTCCCGCAGTGGGCTCCCTGCTCAGCGGGGAGCCTGCTTCTCCCTCTGCCTCTCTCTCTCTGTCTCTTATGAACAAATAAATAAAATCTTTAAAAAAAAAAAAAAATAAATAAAATGGCTATACTACCCAAAGCAATCTACAGATTTAATGCAATCCCTATCATAATATCAACAGTATTTTTCAGAGAACTAGAATAATCCTAAAATATACATGGAACCACAAAAGGCCCTGAATAGCCAAAGCAAATTTGAAAAAGAAAAGCAAAGCTGGAGGTATTACAATTCCAGACTTTCAGGTATATTACAAAGTGGTAGTGATCAAACAGTATGGTACTGGCACTAAAACAGCCACACAGATCAATGGAACAGAATAGAAAACCCAGAAATAAACCCATGACTATATGGTCAGTTAGTCTTCGACAATCAACAAAACTAAAAGGCAACCTACTGAATGGGAGAAGATATCTGCAAATGACATATCTGATGAAGGGTTAGTATCAAAAATTTATAAAGGGCTGACACAAATCAACACCCAAAAAACAAATAATCAAATTAAAAATGGGCAGAAGAAACGAACAGCCATTTCTCCAAAGAAGACATCCAGAAGGCCAACAGACACATGAAAAGATGTTCAACATCATTTATCAAGAAATGCAAATCAGAAGTACAAATAGGTATCACCTCACACCTGTCAGAATGGCTAAGATCAACAACATAAGAAACAACAGGATGGTGAGGATGGTGAGGATGTGGAGAAAGGGGAACCCTCTTACACTGTTGGTAGGAATGCAAGCTAGTGCAGCCACTCTGGAAACAGATGGAGGTTCCTCAAGAAGTTAAAAATAGAGCTACCCTACCATCCAGTAATTGTGCTATTGGGTATTTACACAAAAAATACAAAAACACTAACTCAAAGAGATACACTCCCCCCTATGTTTATTGCAGTATTATTTACAATAGCCAAATTATAGAAGCAGCCCAAGCATCCATCAATAGATGAATGGATGAAGATGTGGTGCATATATATCCAATGGAATATTATTCAACCAAAAAAAATGAAATCTTGCCACTTGCAACAACATGGATGGAGCTAGAAAGTATAATGCTAACTGAAATAAGTCAGTCAGAGACAAACACCATATGATTTCAGTCATATGTGGAATTTAAGAAACAAGACAAATGAGCAAGGACGAAAAAAAGAGACAAACCCAAATCACAGCCTCTTAACTATAGAGAACAAACTGATGATTACCAGAGGGGAGAGGGTGGGGGGATGGGTTACATAGGTGCTGGGGATTAAGGAGTGCACTTGCTGTGATGAGCACGGGGTGATGTATGGAGTTGCTGAATCACTATATTGTACGCCTGAGACTAATATAACACTGTAAGTTAACTGTACTGGAATCTAAACAAAACAATACAACATAAAACAATGTTAAAACTGTTTAAATCTGCTAGTTTTCTAGGTGTTTTCTCTGAGATTTCTGAATGTGAATCAACATGGCAATAAAACCAATTTTGTTCTCACCATAAGTCAAAATATTCTTTTCAATCGTCTTTCTTATGGTATCAAGTGCATTCTCTTTGTTTTCTTCCAACTCCTGTGTTTCTTGCTGATGACTTTCAGCCTCTGGGGAGAAAAGGAATATTATTTTCAGACAATACACTAATGGGGTATCATATACTTTAAATCTCTTACCAAACAAAAGAATTATTAGATTGAGAGGATTTCTATACTTTGTAAGATCTTCTTATACAAAACTAACTTTTTTCCTGTCTTTTCCTTAAGGCTAACTATTACTTTTATTCTACTTAGAAGAATCAAATGAAGGGCTGTGAAATTCATGCAAGGTTACTGTTGCTACATTCACTATTCCTCACTGGCCCTTACATCAAGGACAAAGAAACAAGCATCCTAATATTGTAGCCAAGCCTATCTACAACGTGTTTCGAGAAAATGTACAAAATTTAAAAGGGATTTAAGAAGTGTTAGCTGTGGGCACTGGCTGGCTCAGTTGGGAGAGCATGCAACTCTTGATCTCAGGGTCGTAGAGTTCAAGCCCTACATTGGGCGTAGTAGAGCTTACTTTAAATAAATTAAATAAAGTAAGTTATTAAAAATAAATAAAGCACACATAATGAAACACTTTTTCAAAAAAAAGAAATGTTAGCTGAACACAAGACTCAACATCACAGGGCAATGGCACTCTAATTCCAGGGTTCAAGTCATTTGGCTTCTCAAGACCCCAAGTATATAAAAACAGAGACTCCTAAGTTTAGAGATAGGAGAGATTACTGTACAGTTACAAAACAGCTTACAAAAGCAAGTGTGAACCTCTTAGTGAAGGCAGTATAAAAAGCAAGGAATACAAAGTTAAGAAAATTTATGAACTACATAAAAATGTACGTGTGGGGCGAGATATCAATCTTAAAATGTGTGGGTGAAAAGGAGGGCAGTATTTTGTAGCACTCTAAGTCCCTCTACAGTCGAGATGTGTGCTTACTGGAAAAATAATTCAAACTCTATTTTTTTTTATTTAAGATTTTTATTTATTTATTTGAGAGAGAGAATGAGACAGAGAGAGAGAGCATGAGAGGGGGGAGGGTCAGAGGGAGAAGCAGACTCCCTGCTGAGCAGGGAGTCCGATGTGGGACTCGATCCCGGGACTCCAGGATCATGACCTGAGCAGAAGGCAGTCGCTTAACCAACTGAGCCACCCAGGCGCCCTAATTCAAACTCTATTAACACAAAGAAATAAGATCATCTCCACCGATAAAGGGTCATGTATTTAGTCACAGCACACCCCAAAAAACAGGACTTTAAAATATCATATCACAGAATATGAAAGGATCTTTAATGATCCCGTGGTGTAGCCCCCACCTTACCTATCATGGCAAAAGGTCTAGGGATGTGAAGGGCTTTGCCCAAGGTCACATAAAGAGATGTGGCTAAGCTGAAATTAAAACAAGGTTTCTCATCTGCTAGGTCAGCTCATTCCATTATATTAAGTTGCTTCCCATACACAGCCTGCATTTTTAAAACAATATTTTCTTCCTCTACTCAGTGAACCTGCATACTGGTGAAAATCTGATGGAAAATTAATAGTTCATACAAGTCACATTCATTCATTTATGTAACTATTATTCATAAAGTTGCTTCTCTGTGCCAGGTGCCACAGAAACACAATGAATGACAGAGACATAGTCCTTGCATTCACTGAAGTTACAGAATATTCTAATGATTAGTGAATGAAACATTATTTGAGATCAGCCACTGATTTATAGTGAAGCATGAATTTCCAGCCCTTAGTCGAGTCCCTGATGAACAGAATGTCTTAACATTTTATATCCCTTTGCACTTGGCAAATAGGGATTTTAGACTGAGCTCTTCGTGTACTTATAAAATACAAATCCACACATCCAATTATAGACAGAGCTGGAGAGACCAGCTGGATAGCTCTTATCCAACTTTTTCATTCTACAAACAGGAAACTGAAGTACCAGAGAGTTAAGACACTTGCCCAGGGTCACCCAAGTTAGCAAATGGTAGGGCCACAACGGGAATTCATGTCTCTTTTGTGTTCCAGTTAAGGACTTAGCCACTGCAACTATTATCTTCATAAGAGAAGATAGGATGCTTACTCTCCTTAATATAGAAGTGGGGAAAATCATGTAAAGAGAAATTAACTGATTTGCTCAAAGTCTGATAAAATATGACTGAGTTAAGGGCACTGGGCCATTGATGCTAGTTTTTAAATATACCCATCTCGGGGTGCCTGGGTGGCTCAGTCGTTAAGTGTCTGCCTTCAGCTCAGGTCATGATCCCAGGGTTCTGGGATCGAGCCCCGCATCGGGCTCTCTGCTTGGCGGGAAGCCTGCTTCTCCCTCTCCCACTCCCCCTGCTTCTGTTCCCTCTCTCGCTGTGTCTCTGTCAAATAAATAAATAAAATCTTAAAAAAAAAAAAAAAAATATATATATATATACCCATCTCTTGATTTGTGTAGCATTTAAGTTTCCAGAAAAAAAAATAAAAGATTTAAAAAATGTTAAGTAAAAATATGCTCCTAAGAAATAAATGAAAAGCCAGAGGTGAAGCTTTAAAAAGTCAATCCCTTTTTTAAAATCATACTACATCAAACAGTAAGTAAATAAAAATAGTTTAAAAATGCAGTTTCTATGCTGGAAGCTACTTAAGTAGTGTAATGGAGCTAGGCAAGGAGATGAGAAACCTCCCTCTAATCTCACCTCAGTCATATCTCTTTAAGTGACCCTGAGCAAGGCCGAAAGGCCTTGATCCTATGAAGAGAACTTCTCTAAAAAGAAGGACCCTGACCTATGCTGTGTCCTCAGTAAAGAGCAATACAAAGCAGAAGTCCAGCGGGCTCCCTCACCTGGTGCCAGCAGTCGCCTCCTCACGGTATCCTGGCTCTCCAGCACTGGGGGGGGGTGCTCAGGGCTCTGGGCATCCTGAGAGTCTGCGGCAGGTGGCTCGGGTGAAACTCCAGGTCCGCTGCTCACTTCCTCAGGCAGGGCTGCAGAGCCGCTCCTTAAGAGTGCATCTTCTCTTCCTACCCTGCCACTTGGAGAACAGGTGGGTTCTGGTGGGTTCTGTTCTTCCTGAAAACTCTGGTTGTTCTCATGTTCTGTTTTGTCCTTTGGATAGTTCCCATAATCTGTCCCATCTGGACTTTCTGATTGATCGTCTGTGTCTGCACTTCCTGGAACTACTGTTTCTACCTCTTGGTGGACTTTGTTAAGACCAGAGGCGGGGTCTGGGGTCTGAGCTTCTTCAGTGGTACTTGCTGGGACTGAGGTGTCCTGTGCCTGAGAACTTACTGATGGGTCATTTTCCAAATCCTTTTGAGAGGCTATTGAGATAAAAATTTATAATTTTTCTTGAAAAAAATTCTCTATTTTTTTGTAGTTTAACAAGGTCCCTGATTAGTAAGTATTATTATTTAATGTATATAGATTTGATGGTTTACAAGGCACTCTTCCTAAACATTATTTCTCTTGATTTCCACTAAAGGTGATTAAGACAAACTTATTATGTGTTAATAAATCTAATAATACTAATGTAAAACTATTTTGAATGACAGAACCAATTTTTGGTTGTATTAAATACATCCTCTTCCCTAGTGAAATAATGCACCTACGCAATAATCATCAACAGCAACTAAAACCCTAGGCAAAAAGCTGATGAGAAATTTTATAATGAGTGAACCAGACTGACAGAACTGCTGAACCAACTGATCAATCTTAACATCACAGAAAGAGGGAAAACCACGTATCATTAACCTCCCAATTCAGTGCAATGGGAAGTACACTATACCACCCGTGAAGTATTCTTGCCAAACAAACGAACTGGTATCTGATCAAGATTCTAGAGTTAATTACCAGTTTCCATGAAAAACACAGATAGAGGAATATATTAAATCACGTCTCAGACATATAATCGGTAAAACCCAAAATGTGAGAAATTCACAGGGACAAGAGACTTTGTTTCTTTAGTAACAGCAAGGAAAAAAAAAAAAATAACAGCAAGAAATAAAAATAAATGGCAAGAAGAAAAAAAAGGAGGGGTGACCTATTAATAGAAACTTAAAGAGAAGAAATATATCGACCAAACGCAGTATGTGACCACACTGTTCAGATCTAGTGTTGAACAAATTGTTGAAGAAATATTTATGAGATAATCAGATAATCTGAATGCCAGGTATTTGCTGATACTAAGGAATTACACTGTTCATCTTTTAAGTACAATATATTGTGATAATTTTTTAAAGCATCCTTTTTAGAGATAAGAATCACATATTTATGGCTAAAATTACATGGTATCTAGAATTTGCCTCAATTCAAGAATATGGGTGAAAGCAGCAAGACTATAGATGAAATAATATATTGACAGCAGATGAAGCCATTTGATGGGTACATGGGATTCATCTCATCTCCTCCTCTACTCTTATGTATGTCTGACATTTTCTATAATAAAGCTTAAAAAGAAAGCAACCTAAAAGATATATCAATCAAATGCAGTGAGTAGGGGCGCCTGGGTGGCTCAGTCGTTAAGCGTCTGCCTTCGGCTCTGGTCGTGATCCCAGGGTCCTGGGATCGAGCCCCACATCGGGCTCCCTGCTCCGCAGGGAAGCCTGCTTCTCCCCTCCTTCTCCCCCTGCTTGTGTTCCCTCTCTCACTATGTCTCTCTCTGTCAAATAAATAAATAAAATCTTAAAAAAAAAAAAAAAAACAACACAAATGCAGTGAGTAGCCCAGTATAAAGAAAAAAAAAACAAAACACAAAACCAAAACCCCAACTGTGGAAAAAAAAAAAAGATTAGGGAGAAAAAAAAGATTTGAGACAAGTGGGGAAATGTACATACTGATTAAATATGTTATGATATTAAAGAACAACTATTAATGTATTTTTCAGGTGTGATATACTATTTTGGTTACTTTTTAAAAAATCTATCCTTAAGAGATGTAAAGTATGTACAAACAAAATTATAGAATGCCTTGGATTTGCATTTAAATATTCCAAGGCAGGCAACAAGATCAGCATTATAGGGATGCCTGGGTGGCTCAGTCAGTTAGGCATCTGCCTTCGGCTCAGGTCATGATCCCTGGGTCCTGGGATCGAGTCCCAAATCGGGCTCCTAGCTTGGCAGGGAGCCTGCTTCTCCCTCTCCCACTCCCCCTGCTTGTGTTTCCTCTCTTGCTGTGTCTCTGTCAAATAAATAAATAAAATCTTAAAAAAAAAAAAAAAAAATATATATATATATATATACACCCATCTCTTGATTTGTGTAGCATTTAAGTTTCCAAAAAAAAAAATAAAAGATTTAAAAAATGTTAAGTAAAAATATGCTCCTAAGAAATAAATGAAAAGCCAGAGGTGAAGCTTTAAAAAGTCAATCCCTTTTTTAAAATCATACTACAACAAACAGTAAGTAAATAAAAAGTTTAAAAATGCAGTTTCTATGCTGGAAGCTACTTAAGTAGTGTAATGGAGCTAGGCAAGGAGATGAGAAACCTCCCTCTAATCTCAGCTCAGTCATATCTCTTTAAGTGACCTTGAGCAAGGCCGAAAGGCCTTGATCCTATGAAGAGAACTTCTCTAAAAAGAAGGACCCTGACCTATGCTGTGTCCTCAGTAAAGAGCAATACAAAGCAGAAGTCCAGCGGGCTCCCTCACCTGGTGCCAGCAGTCGCCTCCTCACGGTATCCTGGCTCTCCAGCACTGCGGGGGGGTGCTCAGGGCTCTGAGCATCCTGAGAGTCTGTGGCAGGTGGCTCGGGTGAAACTCCACGTCCGCTGCTCACTTCCTCAGGCAGGGCTGCAGAGCTGCTCCTTAAGAGTGCATCTTCTCTTCCTACCCTGCCACTTGGAGAACAGGTGGGTTCTGGTGGGTTCTGTTCTTCCTGAAAACTCTGGTTGTTCTCATGTTCTGTTTTGTCCTTTGGATAGTTCCCATAATCTGTCCCATCTGGACTTTCTGATTGATCGTCTGTGTCTGCACTTCCTGGAACTACTGTTTCTACCTCTTGGTGGACTTTGTTAAGACCAGAGGCGGGGTCTGGGGTCTGAGCTTCTTCAGTGGTACTTGCTGGGACTGAGGTGTCCTGTGCCTGAGAACTTACTGATGGGTCATTTTCCAAATCCTTTTGAGAGGCTATTGAGATAAAAATTTATAATTTTTCTTGAAAAAAATTCTCTATTTTTTTGTAGTTTAACAAGGTCCCTGATTAGTAAGTATTATTATTTAATGTATATAGATTTGATGGTTTACAAGGCACTCTTCCTAAACATTATTTCTCTTGATTTCCACTAAAGGTGATTAAGACAAACTTATTATGTGTTAATAAATCTAATAATACTAATGTAAAACTATTTTGAATGACAGAACCAATTTTTGGTTGTATTAAATACATCCTCTTCCCTAGTGAAATAATGCACCTACGCAATAATCATCAACAGCAACTAAAACCCTAGGCAAAAAGCTGATGAGAAATTTTATAATGAGTGAACCAGACTGACAGAACTGCTGAACCAACTGATCAATCTTAACATCACAGAAAGAGGGAAAACCACGTATCATTAACCTCCCAATTCAGTGCAATGGGAAGTACACTATACCACCCGTGAAGTATTCTTGCCAAACAAACGAACTGGTATCTGATCAAGATTCTAGAGTTAATTACCAGTTTCCATGAAAAACACAGATAGAGGAATATATTAAATCACGTCTCAGACATATAATCGGTAAAACCCAAAATGTGAGAAATTCACAGGGACAAGAGACTTTGTTTCTTTAGTAACAGCAAGGAAAAAAAAAAAAATAACAGCAAGAAATAAAAATAAATGGCAAGAAGAAAAAAAAAGGAGGGGTGACCTATTAATAGAAACTTAAAGAGAAGAAATATATCGACCAAACGCAGTATGTGACCACACTGTTCAGATCTAGTGTTGAACAAATTGTTGAAGAAATATTTATGAGATAATCAGATAATCTGAATGCCAGGTATTTGCTGATACTAAGGAATTACACTGTTCATCTTTTAAGTACAATATATTGTGATAATTTTTTAAAGCATCCTTTTTAGAGATAAGAATCACATATTTATGGCTAAAATTACATGGTATCTAGAATTTGCCTCAATTCAAGAATATGGGTGAAAGCAGCAAGACTATAGATGAAATAATATATTGACAGCAGATGAAGCCATTTGATGGGTACATGGGATTCATCTCATCTCCTCCTCTACTCTTATGTATGTCTGACATTTTCTATAATAAAGCTTAAAAAGAAAGCAACCTAAAAGATATATCAATCAAATGCAGTGAGTAGCCCATTATAAAGAAAAAAAAAACCACACAAAACCAAAACCCCAACTGTGGGGAAAAAAAAAAAAAAGATTAGGTAGAAAAAAAAGATTTGAGACAAGTGGGGAAATGTATATACTGATTAAATATGTTATGATATTAAAGAACAACTATTAATATATTTTTCAGGTGGGATATACTCTTTTGGTTACTTTTTTTAAAAAAATCTATCTTTGAGAGATGTAAAGTATGTACAAATTATAAAATGCCTTGGATTTGCATTTAAATATTCCAAGGCAGGCAACAAGATCAGCATTATAGGGATGCCTGGGTGGCTCAGTCAGTTAGGCATCTGCCTTCAGCTCAGGTCATGATCCCTGGGTCCTGGGATCGAGTCCCAAATCGGGCTCCTAGCTTGGCAGGGAGCCTGCTTCTCCCTCTGCCTGCCAATCCCCCTGCTTATGCTTGCGTGCAGGCTCCCTCTCTGACAAATAAATAAATAAAACCTTAAAAAAAAAAAAGACCAGCATTATATAGATTATAATTGAAAGTTAGATGTTGAAATCACTATACTGTATGTCTGAAATTAATATTACATTGTATTTTAACTAACTGGAATTTAAATAAAAACTTAAAAAAAAGGAATTAAATGTTGAGTATGTACAAATTCATTATAGCTCTCTTTTATATATTTTAAAACATTCTCAATAAAAGGTTTAGGTAAATATTCCCTCTTCTGAAATATCTACTTCATATTTTGCCTATTTTATATCTCCTATATATATATACAAGCAAGAATTTAAATTTCATCTTTCCCTATAATTGAAAGTAGATGGCACATCGGTTTTCTTGATTTTTAAAAATACAGCTCTAAAAATTGGTCTGTTGTCCCTAAGGTGCATGTATTTTTCCAATACTACAGGTTTCTACTCCTGGAGTCTCTAAAACATTTATCTTCCTTATAATTCGGGTCTGATATTATGGTGGACTTCAGTAAATACAAAAGAATAAGAATAATCATAACAAACTAATCAATTAAGCTAACTTCTTTTTTACCTCCGAACTTCAGGTTTCCATCACCTGAGATCTTCTCTTAGCATAGATCTAGATCCCTATAGCACAAACCTGGACAAACCAGTGCTATACAGACTAGTCTTACCCTCTGCAGGATCCCTAAGTCCTCTGTCGGCCATGTTTGTGTTCTAGCTCTTCAGACTTTGGGATACCTTTTGTTAGTGTCTGGTTTTTCTTGTGCAGATGTCTTGTTTTCTTCTTATCCCAAGTCCCAACAGACTCATGCTTCCCGACCCAGGAAACAAGGCATTTCTACAGTGACTAAAATAAAATGAAAAAAATTAAATGACTTTTTATTCATACATGGAAGAAATGCCAATTTCAGCTTTATTTATTCGATCTGTTTAGTTTGAGTAATAGTTCCCCTTTGAAACTTTTCTAGTGAAGGAGAAATGTTTTCTGGCGTTGGTGAGGATCTTCAAATCCTTGACTACAAACAGAAAAAAGCTTCAGATTATTAACTTTGCATGGATGCCATAATCTCTTAATACATTCCAGTGTGTTGAAAGGATGGAAAAAGCTGAATGACCAGAATCTTAAAGAGAATCTCTTTGAAAATGGAATAAAAAGTGATTCTTAGAGTAGAAATTTAAGTCACTGCTCAGTTAATCACTGCATATTTCCTTTATGTCTTCAATTTCTGTCCCATATAAATCTCTCAGCAGCTTTCACTTATCATTACTAACAATGCACAGGGAGTACCCTACAAACTAAGGTAGCTGCCTTGATATCAGAAGTAGGAAATACACATCTGGAATTTTGTCACTGCCTTCTTAGTGATTCTCTCACAGTATTCTTTTTAGATCTCTTCAATGCTTTTCCATGTGGTGCCCAAAAAAGACTGATGTATAAATTATTATGAACTATATACAAAAGGAATCAAAATCAGAGGCAATTCATAATAAAATATTCTATCATTTTATAGTTAAATCACATTTTTTGTCAGGAACAATAATACCTGATTTTACTTAACTTTCCTTATCGTAAAAATGATTAAGAAGTGCTATGAGGATTAAATACAAAAGTATATGTGAAAGGGGTTTGGAAAGGGTTACATTTTTGATGGCCTAGTTGAGAGGCTAGCCAGTTAACTTTATGTCTTTTTCACAGCACTCTTCTGTAAAATTCAATTTTACAAGTTAAAAATTTTAATCCCAAATGCCTGGTATAATGCCTAGTGTAAAGTAGAACTCCCTATTTTAATTAAAAAGAATATGGGGCGCCTGGGTAGCTCAGTTGGTTAAGCGACTGCCTTCGGCTCAGGTCATGATCCTGGAGTCCCCATTGGGCTCCCTGCTCAGCAGGAAGCCTGCTTCTCCCTCTGACCCTCCCCCCTCTCATGCTCTATCTCATTCTCTCTCTCAAATAAATAAATAAAATCTTTTTTTTTATTTTTTTATTTTTTTTAAGATTTTATTTATGTATTCATGAGAGACAGAGAGAGAGAGAGAGGCAGAGGGAGAAGCAGGCTCCCAAGGAGCAGGGAGCCCGATGCGGGACTCGATCCCAGGACGCTGGGATCATGACCTGAGCCGAAGGCAGACGCTTAACCATCTGAGCCACCCAGGCGCCCTAAATAAATAAAATCTTAAAAAAAAAAAAAATGAATAAATCTATGAATGTATAGAGTAGTGCCAATTATAAATGTGAAGGGAAGGGAGGAGTTAGAGACAGGCCTCCTTTCTGCTGGTGTAAACATTCAGGAACATGTCTCAGATTTGAAGAGTTCCTGGTCACCCTTTTATCTTCTTCAATCTCCTGAGACTGGGCTTCCAACTCTCCTTTTCATTACCATCATATGTTGCAATGAGGGTTTCTCTCCTATCCTAGTTCATGATAGAAAATAAAAAGTCCCCAGTCTTTTTCAGATTTCTTAAAACACTTATTTCCTGCTAGCCCAAACCAAGAAAACAATGGGTAGAACTTTCTTATGCACCAGTGACAAAAATTTTAGAAAGCAAAGATGCTATTCATAATAACTATAAGGAATCTGATAATAAAAACTAAAAGATACCTGGTAATAAATCTAACAACAGATATGCAAGAACTTTAGAGTGGGATGAATTTTATGGTATGTAAATTACAACTCAATAAAGCTGTATTAAAAAAAATACATAGGAAGAAAAGCATAAAACTTTATTGAAGGACATAAAAAAGACCTAAGTAGAGAAATACATCATGTGCATAGACAGTAAGACTCTAAACCATTGATGCCAATTCTTTCCAAATCAATCTATAGATTCATTGTAAATTGAAACAAAAATTGCAAGGTAATTTTTGGATTGTTGTATGTTTCTTAGAGAATGGACAGCTGACTCTAAAATTCACACAGAGCAGTAAATGATTAAAAAGAGTTAAGATAATTCTGAAGGAAAAATAAAAAGATAATTCTGAGGGGGGGCCTATCTTTGCCAGATATAGCAAGACTTATTATAAACTTACAGTAAATAAAAACGATAGGGCAATGGTACAAGAACAAAGAGAATATATAGGAGAGAGAGAAGGAAATACAGGCACACATACGTAAAGGAAACTGGGTAAGCGACAAGAGGGAAAGAATGAATTAATGAGTAGTTTGAGGACAAGTGACAATTTAAATGGGAAAAAAAAATTAGATTTCAACCTGTCACCCGACACAAAAATCAATTCCAGATTAAAGGCCTAAGTGTAAAGAGAAAAATTTTGAATTTTTAGAAGAAAATATTGAATATCTTTACAATCTCAAGGTTTTCTTAAACAAGATATAAAATACACAAACCACAAAGGGAAAATTTGACAAATTTGATCACATTTTAAATATTAATTTCTATACAAATCATCAAAATCAAAGTTAAAAGATAAATTCACTGACTAGAAAAATATCAGCAACACGTATAATCAGCAGGGGATTAATATCCAGAATACATAAAGACTCCTAAAAGACAGATAATGCTATGAAAAAATAAGTGGGCAAAAGAGTTGAACAGTTTTAATAAATTGTTAAAACAAAAGGAAACCTAACATTCTAATGAATCACAAAGAAGAGTGGCCAAGGAAATGCAAGACAAATGAATGATGACATACAACAGTGTTTTACAACCATCTACTGGCAAAAATTTACAAGTCGGGCAATACCAGGTGTTGGTGAGAATTTGGATATACAGAGTTCTTAAATCCTACTGGCAATGAGGTAAACTGTTACTGCAACTTTGGAGAGCAATATGGCAATATATGGTAAAGTTAAGATGTGCATGTTCTACAAATAGTCAATTGCACTTTTAGATATATGCCTTAGAGAAACTTTCCCTCAAGTGCTCACCGATGTTCGTGGCAGCGTTGCTTAAAATGAGGAACAAATGAGAAAACCACCCATATGTCCATTAATAAGGAAGTGGATTTTAAAAAATTGTGGTATATTCTTAAAATGTAGTATTAGATATGGCAATTAAAACAAAAGGAACCATCACAGATCTTTCTATAATCTCACAAATGCTCAGTATATACCTTTCTTGTCAGGAGGCACACATTCCTGCAGCCCATTCCATTCAGGCCCTTTGTAACATATCACTGTTCATAGCTGAAATGGTATTCCCTCAAGGCTACAGGGAAGAAGTGGTATAAACACGGAGGTTCTTGACACATCCTCACAAGAAGTCACATGGTGGGGCAGCTGGGAGATCTTGAGGCCACTATTCCTGAAGCAGGTCAACCTTTTGAGCAGTGTCCAATCCATACGAGGAAATGTGTGCATTAGGAACCCCTGGACTGATTAATGGAAGTGAGGCAGAGCCTCATCCTGATGGAAAATGGGAACGCTGGAGACGTTTTGCAACTGTAGGAAAAACCGTTCCATAATCATGTCCAAAAAGATCCCTTTGATGGTATCTTTTGCAAAAAGGAACTGATAAAGACCCATGTGCTTCATATGGCACTGAAGATATTTACTTTCAGCAAACCCCTTACAAGTTTAATTGTGAAATGTTGGTTTTCAGTGCCCCATTTATGGAGATTAAGAATCATTTTGCCGGGTGCCTGGGTGGCTCAGTTGATTAAGCGACTGCCTTCGGCTCAGGTCATGATCCTGGAGTCCCGGGATCGAGTCCCGCATCGGGCTCCCTGCTCTGCGGGGAGTCTGCTCCTCCCTCTGACCCTCCCCCCTCTCATGTGCTCTCTGTCTCTCTCATTCTGTCTCAAATAAATAAATAAAATCTTAAAAAAAAAAAAAAAAGAATCATTTTGCCACTTCAGGTAAAACAGCCTCATCACTACTGGCAGCTATTTGCACTTCCCTAGGACCCTGCAGCAAAACTTGTGTCATTTTAACAGTCTCTATATGAGGGCTTTAAGCAGGATAAAGCAATAAAGTTTTATTCTCCCTTTTCAGAGAATGCAACAGATGGTACTCTGAGGGATGCCTTCCTTCATCTCCACATCCTGGGACTTTTCTAAAGAGGGACACAAATTTGCCTGCCTACTTCCTCTGCCGACGTGATTACCTTGTGCTCTTCTAGGATGCATCCTTTCTGTTCCATCTCACTGTACCAATGGTAATGCTTTGACAACTTGGTATGTGTTCACTGACTGGTACGCTGCCAGACCTTTGCACGGCAGCAATACAACCAAGTTTAGCAGACCCCCAACATACAAAATGAAGTGTCATAAGGGAAACTCTACAAATTGGTGCATATTACATCTTTATGTACAAATGTTACTGATATGTTACTGAGCAATAACATTTCGAAAGCAGTCAATTCTCTTTTAGTGCTCTGTACCATTGTTTAAATACATGTAAAATAAAAAAATCAAACACATGAGCAGAAAGGATACACATCAACTTCCATTTGGTGCTTGCTTCTGCTGATGGAAGGACAGGAAGAGGATGAGGACAAGAATGGGTTCCAACTCTGTCAAGTATCTTAAAAAAAAAAAAAAACTGAGGCAAATGTAGCAAAACGTTAATATATTTTAGATCTGGGTACCTGGTGAATGTTATTCTCTGGACTTTTCTATATGTTTGATGTAGTTAATACTTTTTTAAATGAGTAATAAAAGGTATCAGCCTCTGTGAGGGAAAGTAAGAATCAAAAGGCAAGGGCCTGTAATGCTAACTCTTTGAGCTCACAAGCAATGCATTTCTGTTCCAGGGGCACACTCCAACCACAGTCTCCCATGCATTTTGTCACAACCAGCTGGGAAGAGGCAGGACACGAAAAAGCTGTCCCTGAGAACAAAATCAGGGCTGGGAGAACAGCAGGACTTCACCCAACCTCTGCTCATCCTGAAAACCTCTGGTCTCACCATGGGGACCAGGTAGGAGGGAGGGAGGAGACGGAGACCCAGAGGAGACCTGGGGAAGAGAGAAGGGGCAGGTATCAGGAAGCACTGGAATCTGCAACACTAAGTGATCATTTTTTTTAAGGATTTTATTTATTTATTTATTTTAGAAAGAGGGAGAGCAAGAGTGAGCATGAGTGAGCATAAGCGGGGGAGGGAGAGAGAGAATCCCAACGTGGGGCTCGATCTCACGACTCTGAGATCGTGACCTGAGCCAAAACCAAGAGTCAGACGCTGAACCAACTGAGCCATCCACGCGCCCCTAAGTGGTGAATTTAAAAAAGAGAGAGGGAGGGAGGGATTCAGAAGTTTAGCAGCTAAGGACAAAAGAGAAGTCAATCCAAGATGGTAATTTAGATATAAATGCCATCATGACAAATGTATGGCAGTTAGAGCCCAGTAAGTACATATATCTTTTTTCTATTTTTAAACACTTTTATTTTAGTGAATGGTGTCAATTTAGGCTCTAGGGATAAAAAGCAGGTATCCTGGCCCTCAAGCAATTTATAATTCTGCTGTAGAGACAACATACAAAACATACACAACAAAAATAATAGGTAACATTTATTGCCTTGTTTATGCCAAGCAGCATCCAAAGCACTTTATGTATTAACTCATTTAATCTTCACAATCGTCTTATGTCTGAACCATTAATATTCTTACTATTTTACAGACAAGGAAACTGACATACACAAGAGGTTAAGAACCTTACTCAAAAACACACTACCAGTAAAGGTAGAGTCGGGATTGGAACTCAATCTGACTGTGGGACCCAAGCTTTTAACCCTGACACTAAAAAAAACAAAAACAAAAAACAAACAAAAAAACCACCTATAGTAAACATACTGCAAAGCGACCTGTATGTAGTTTTCAATTGTGACTCTAGCACATATGACCTGGTTGAATCTACACATAACCTAACCTTCAACTTTTCTCAAACTGCTTATTTTGGTGTTGTGGAAAGTCTCAGGTGAGATAGTAAATCACACAGCAATTACACCTACCACCATTATGACTGTAAATGGGCCTAAAAAATGTGACAAGGAACTGCTTGGGGTCATGCAACCCTGTAGATTTCTTAATCTTTACACCTAAGACCATTTGGCTCAACTCAACTACAGATTCAACCTCAGTACCAAGATTAATCTGGTCCTTCATTGGAAGGGACTTAAGTTTAAGTTTTCGATAATTCAGCATCAAGCTCTAACAACTGGCTTTAATCCCCTAAAACTAAAACTCTTATTCCTAGTTCTAACTTCTGCCTCGTTCTCCTGTACCTTTTCTAGTCCTAAAGACTTAATATGTGCCATATGATTGGCATATGTTATCACATTCAAACCCCACACAGGATGAGGTAGGTTATTACTGCACTACCTTTGTGACAGATAAAGAAACTGGATAGAGAGAGGTTAAAATGCCCAAAGTCATCTAATAGTACCAGAATTTGAAGACAAACACAGGTCAGCTGGCTGCAAAGCCATTATTTTTCCTGTACACTAAGCAGTTTCCAAGCTGTGTTCTCAGGATTCCATGGAGAATCCAGGGCTGTCAGGGAAGACTGAAGAAACAGAAGGGGTATGGCTCATCTCACTCTTACAGATAAGTGTATCATGCTGATTGCCACATACTCCTTGGATTCCATGGAATTCTTTTATGCCTGCCTGCTTGCCTGGGCTTGTCTCTCCTCCTATCACTTAGAGATGAATCCTAACTCAGTCACCCCCAACCCAGGAGAGCCTCCTCTTTAGCAGATTACTTCCTTCCCAGGCTACCCCAGCATGTGTCTCTTAACCTTCTACTCCCAAGTCTGCCATAAAATAACTGGAAGTAGTTTTAATAATCATTTTAAAAATGGCCACCAATATATATAATAGTATCAACTCTGCCACAGTATAAAGATGATTAATATGGCTCACACAATCTAAAGTAGGGGATAACCCTCCAGATCATTTGTTGTGAGACTTAAATTTTAGGAATATATTTATACTTTATAATTCACTATTCATAATTATGAATTGGAGCATTCTAGAATATTTAAACCAAGTAAAATCATATTAAGAAGACTTAAGCTGAAGAGCTACAAAGTTCTCTAAATTTTCTTCTTTGCTCAATTTTATGAACTCTGCCACATGTTATTTCTGAGAGCTGACCATGTAACAGGTATGTGATAATATAACCATGTCTGAAGGCAAAGTATTCTTAATGTAATACTTTAGTATTTTTGATTCCTTTCTCCTGCCCATATACTCACAAAGCTTATAATGACACCACACAGAACTACAACAGTCCTGACTTTTTTAATGAGAAAAATGTGACTGAGTTATAATCTGAAATATCCACAGTGACCTACCTGCAGTCTGACATGAAACCTCTTTATATGGCACTAGCAAAGTAAATAACTATCACTACCTTGCGGTATTATGACTACTCAGTTCCCATCCTTTGAAGCCAGGTAATTAAACACCATGGAGGTGCTGCTATTGTACTTCTCAAAGTATCCACAGAGCACCTGCGTTAAGAATCTCCTGCACCACTACTTAGAAATGCAGATTCCCGGGGCCTGTGAGCAACCTAAGGAATCAAAATTTCTCTAAGATCAAGAAATGCGCATGTTCCAACAAGCTCATCCAGGTACTGATTTGGAAATCAACAGTACAAATCCATTTACTTTTTCTTAACTATTTAAAGGAGAAACTGGTTAAAACAATCTTTGGTTAAAACATTTTGCTGATACTTAAAATTGCATGTATGTAGAGCGTTTGTCAGTATGTGTTTGAAAAAATTTAGGGACCAATAACAGTGATCAAAAGCAATATAGCTCTAAGTAAATTTTCACTTTGTAGAAAGAGCTTTAGGACAGTAAAGGGAGTTCTTAACCAAGGGTCAATGATAAACTAACTAGTCTTCACTCAATTTAGCAGTCCACACAGTTTATTCAGCAATGTAACAGGAGAGAACTTCCATTGTGACAGACATAAGGCAGACACAGGGTAGATCTCTGGGGTACATCCTTTATACAGACGAACAAATAACTTTAGGTTTCACAACATGTGGCCACAAGGCATGATTTGTTGCACACCAACAGCTATTCATTCCTCCCTTCTCCCTTCCTAAAAGAGCCATGATTTTATTAGGGAGACAATGGGCCCTACCCAGGCACTGCTAACCCCCTTCCCTTTTGCTGGGCTTCCCAGGCTTGTGAACCAGTACCTTCTGAGATATAAGAAGAAATCTGGGAGGGACTTTTGAGAAAGACTTTTTTCCCAAATAAAAGACACAGACTTGAAAGGAAAAAGCTTTTGCTTCGTATTTCCAGCCTTTGATTGGGAATGAAATATCTGGAACAGTAACAGCCACACTATACTCACTGAAGAAGCAACTATGAGGACAAAAAGCCACCACGATAAGGATCCCAGTGGGAAGAACAGAAAGAGCCTGGGACCTTAGGAACATTGTCCAGCTGCTACACAAGCACTGGATTATCTAGTATCTTAAGTGGAATTTAAAAATTGTGCAATGGCCTCTGAGATGTTTTCAGATTTTTCTAAGTTTCTCCTATACTCTAGTTCCATGATTCTCATCAACAGGTGAAGGCCAGAATGTGGTCAATGTCCAGCAAGACACTGTTAGTTCTCAGAAAGATGCTTCCGCATAGTGTCTATGGAGTCAAGCTTGGTAACTCCTTTTGTCACCTATCTCATAGTATAAGTACTTTTCCATTTCCAGAGGAGGACATTCGAAGTTCAGTCACCACAAAAACAGGACAGCCTTTGCTATGTAGAGTCAAGTAAAGATAGTGGCATTTCTGCATGTTTGTGTGTATCCTGTGTAGATATTACCACTGGTTAACGTGTAAGAGGTGGAATGGAGAACAATGCAGTTTCTTACTAAACTATCTAGCTGTTTTACTGGAATAATCTATAATCCAGCTACAAAGATGCTTTCCCACAAAAGTTATCACTAAAAGTATCATTATGGTACACAGAGTACAGGGCCTCTCCTCCAGGACTATCCTGTCATACATCCGTAATAAGGCTGTGGAGCTTCTTAGGATGGGTAAGCTAATTCCAAAACATAGGGCACGTAGATTAGACTGGTTCTAGATGAATAGTCTGACTGGAATTATGATTAAATTCATGCTGAACAAAGTATGTGTAGCCGATGGGAGCAGATCCAACAATTGAAGCAATTCCCCAAGGTAGTGACAGTCCAGATCAGATTTAGAAAGGATTCATTTTCCCAATCTTCCTTGAGCTACTAGTATAAACTCTAGAGTCTCCCTAATTTTGACTGCTTAAGAAGTTACTTGTTTTGGCCAAGTTTTTTGTTCAAGGTTTTGTCTGTTCTGGTCAAGATTAACTGCAATGCAGGGTTAAAGCCAGCTACTCTAGAGTCGTGTATCCTTTTTCTAACCAGTGGAGGACCCAGAAGAAACGGGTGGCAAGCTTTTTCAAAGGTCCATCTAGTAAGATTTTGGGGCGCCCACTCAAGTGGGAAAGACCAAGGAAGAACAAGGCTTCTATTAGCAGGATTATCAGGGTAACACTCAGGGCAATAATCCGCTCTGTTAATACGGTCTAAGAATACTTGGTAACACTCATTTTCAACAAGTTCAGTTTGGTACAACCAATGGCCTAGTTCTAAACTAGGGAACCACTGCTGTCCACAGTCCGGGCAATGTGAATTATCTGAGAACATCTGGGCTTAGAGAAATAACACAGAAAGCAATGTAACAGTAAAAGGCAACAATGACAAAGAGAGATACCCAAATAACCAGTCCTATTACAGGTCTGGTTTAGCAATTTCTCAGTCCAACCAACAATACTTGGCGACCAGAGTTAAATTTGGCTTGCACCTCCGTGCAATTCTTCAAGATGTCGTTGTCTATTTTTCACTCAATTGCAACTCAGTCTCTGAACTCAGGGACCAATCCAGTCTATAATGTTATCAGTCACTCACTAGCAGCACAGATCTCAGAATAGCTCCTTCAAATCCCAGCTTCTCAAGAAAAGATAGGGCTCTAGTCTAAATTGGTTATTTTTCTTGTGTGTTATCAGCTGGTGGTGTCATGCAGAGGCACGTGGCTTACTCTGCTTTGCTGGTAAGTTATTATGTCTGCTTGGTGAAACAAAGGAGCTGACAGGTCCAACTGGGTCTTTTGTGGGCGCTGGCACTCGCTGTTGTAATACACGTACCCAAGTCTTAAGGCCTTGGCACTTTACAATGATGTAGGGGGTCAGGAAAACCTAGTAGAGTCCTCTTGAGCGTGGATCCAATGAAGTCTTTCTTGGGAGGACCTTAATCAAGACCCAGTCACAGAGAAGTAGTCGATGCTGAGTTGGTTGAAGCGTCTGGGAATGCTTCACACACCTGTAAATGATAAAACTTCAGACGACTCATATAGGCTTTGAGTTGCTCACAATATTAGAAACATGCACTTGGAAATCATTTGGGCCAGTCAAGGTGGATGAAAATGGTCTTGTGGGTCTCTTTATGACAATTTCATAGGGGATCACACCAATTTATCCATTGGGAGCTATTCTTATGCTTATTTTGGGCACTAGGAAGGGTTTTGGTTCACTTAAGATTCGTACTAGCTTAGGACGCCTGGTTGGCTCAGTCAGTTAAGCCTCTGCCTTCAGCTCAGATCTTGATCCCAGGGTCCTGGGATCGAGCCCCACGTCGGAAACCCTGCTCAGCGGAGAATCTGCTTCTCCCTCTCCCTGCTGATGTATGTGTGCACTCTCTCTCTCTGTCTCTCTCTCTCCCCCTCTCAAATAAATAAAATCTTTAAAAAAATTTTTGTACTAGCTTAATGTTTTTAGGATTGTTTCTTTTTTCTAACTCCTTCTGCACTCTAGTAATAGTAAAGTCTGTATCATCTTGTTTAATCTAGTAAAACTCTGAGATTTCTTGTGTATCTTTTCTGTGAAATGGGTACCATATATGGTATTCCTGTAATGTGTGGGATAACATTAACAATGGTGACAGCTTTTCTGTAACAGACTTTAATCCATCCAGGAAAAGGGATTACAAAATCATCAGGAAATCTTAATAGCTAACTCTAGGAAGTTGGGAGGAAATCCTTTTGAAGGCTGAAAAAGAAACCAAGAGGGGCATATCTCATTACCCACATCTATCTTTATAGGTTTATGCACATTACATATTTAAGAAAGCAAGTAAGGTACAGTCTTGAGCAATAGCTCTGAGCAATTCTTGGAAAATATTTAGAAATCAGCTGGAATTTGCAGATACTATCACTTTTATAATCCTTCACGACACTAAATATAACAAGTAAAAAAGGTGGGGTCCTAGGATGTATGAACAACTACATAGCCACCGAGGAAGTGCTACATATTAGAATACGACATATACCTTGCTTTTCTCCAGTGTTCTCTTTGTGAAATCTGAGGCTTGATCCTGTGAGAGCACGTAGAAACACTGGGGAAGGCGTGAGTGCTAGAACTGTATAAAGATTTGGCCTGAAAAGCAGAGGAGTGACAGCCTTAGTTGTGGTCAGACAAAGCATTTTCCTTATAGACTGTCAACAGCAGCTGTGATTCTCAGATTTTAAAATGGCAAGTTTAAAAGGCAACCGAAGAGTCTCTGACAGTGCTGCCAACACAGGGCTCCTATTCTGATGAGAGCCCAGGATGAGGGGAGACAGGTCAGTGAAGGTACACTGAAGTATTTTTTGAGGTTAGATAACACTGTATGGGTGTGGGCTACCAACTCAGCTCCTCAGGCGAAGTTAACAGAAGGTATGGCAGGGTTCCTGACTCAGTAACCTTTGTAGTGACAATACAGGGCGTAACAGATTTCCCTGAGGGTCTACTGACAAGAGCCACCACAAAAGTTTCCGTTGTTGAATTAGGAAATCTTGCATGTTTAGTACATGGAACAGATAATGAATAAAACCCACACAACCATGGGGTTCAACATAAAAGTTAATAGTAAAGTTATACGGCTAAGTTTAACATTGAAGAGATAAAGAATTTGGGGTTTTTAGAGTGAAAAGGAGATATGCAATTGAAATCACAACAAGATACTATTTCACGTCCACCAGACTGGCAAAAATTAACAAGTTTGACAACTGGGGTTGTATATACTCTAGGCAAAACCACCCCACCACCCCCAGGCAGTGTCAGAGCCCTAAAGCTCCAAATACTCAGAATAACTCCACCCTCTCCCAACCTTCATTTCTCCAACTTCAACAGTCAACAAAGCATTAGAGCTCCAAGTATTCCTGAATTAAGAGAACTTTAGTGTTCCTTATGTTTCTGACAAGACAGCCCCTCCCCTGGTCCTCTAAACCACCATGGGCAAGAATCAAAAGGGGACCCCAAAGCACTAAGTGCTCAGAATAAGATTACTTATCCACCAGCCTCCTCGCTCACTCCTTAGCCTTACCATTAATAAATGAGTAAAGAGGGCCTCCTGAAAATGCTCCCAGCATGATTCTCAAACTTCACTGCCCCCCTGCCCCACTCATAGCTTCACTACCATTTTGGCTTGAAAGAATCAGGACCGACCAATCTCATCAGACCTGTAGCTCTGTTTATGGTGACCACTAAACGAAGCCCAGGGCTTCCTGGTTGTACTTCATCGCCTTAATCTCTAATCCCCATATGGATCCAACAGCAGCCAAGATAACATCCCCTTCTTGCTTTACATTTTCCATTTTGATATATTAAATATTCTAGCTATCTGTTTCTATAAAAATATACACTCCTTGAGAACAAGGTTTTTTGTCTTTATTTACTGCTGTACATGCCCAATAAACAAAAGAACAAAAAAGTAATTTGAATCCTTATACCATAGAAGCATAAGTTAGTACAACCACTTTTGGAATTAATTTGGCATTACCTAGTAAAGCTGAAGATATGCGTTTCCTACAACTTGGTAATTCCACTCTTAAGTATATACCCTAGAAAATTAGCACATTTGTGCTTAAACACATGAATGAAAATATTCATGGTAGTACTGCGTGCAATAACCAAACAGGAAAAATGGCCACGAACAGTAAAATGGATAAATAAATCGAGGTACAGGCATACCTCGTTTTATTGCACTTTCCTTTACTATGCTTCTCAGATACTGCATTTTTAAAAACTGAAGGCTTGTGGCAACCCTGCATCAAGCAAGTCTGTCGGCACCATTTTCCCAACAGCATTTGCTCGCTTTGTATCTCTGTGTTACATTTTGGAAATTCTCACAGTATTTCAAACTTTGCCATTATTAATTATATTTGCCATGGTAATCTATGATCAGTGATCTTTGATGTCACGACTGTTACTGTTTTAGGGTGTCTGCGACCATGCCCATGTAAGACAGTGAACTTGATGAATGTTGTGTGTGTTCTGACTGCCCCACTGACTAGCTGTTCCTCCGTCTCTTGCCCTCTCCCCGGGCCTCCCTATTCGGAGACACAACAATATTGAAATTAGGCCAATTAATAACCCCATGATGGCCCCGAAATGTTCAAGTGAGAGGAAGGGCTGCACGCCTCTCACTTTAAATCAAAAGCTAGAAATGATTACACATAGTGCGAAAGGCATGTCCAAAGCTGACAGGCTGAAAACAAGGCCTCTTACACCGAACAGCTGAGTTGTGAATGTGAAGGAAAAGTTCTTGAGGGAAATTAAAAGTGCTGCTCCAGTGAACACACAAATGATAAAAAGTGAAACAGCCTTACTGCTGATACGGAGAAAGTTTAAATGGTCTGGAATGAAGATCAAACCAGCCACAACATTCCCTTAAGCCTAAGCCTAATCCAGAGCAAAATCCTCACTCTCTTGAATTCTCTGCAGTCTGAGAGACGTGAGGAAGCAGCAGAAGTCTGAAGCCAGCAGAGGTTGGTTCATGAGGTTAAAGAAAGAAGCCGTCTCCATAACATAACAGTGCAAGGTGAAGCAGCAAGTGCTGATGGAGAAGCTGCGGCAAGTCATCCAGAAGATCTAGCTAACTTCCTTAATGAAGGTGGTTACACGAACAGCAGATTTGCAATGTAGATTAAAGCAGCCTTCTATTGGAAGAAGATGCCATCTGGGACTTTCAGAGCTAGAGAGGAGAAATCAATGCCTGGCTTCAAAGGACAGGCCGACTGTTGTTAGAGGTTGAAGTTGAAGCCATTGTACCCTGACCATTCCAAAAATCCTAGGGTCCTTACGAATGATGCTAAATCTACTCTGCCTGTGCTCTCTAAATGGAAAAACAAACCCTGAATGACAGCACATCTGTTTACAACATGGTTTACTGAATATTTTAAGCCCACTGTTGAGACCTATTGCTCAAAAAGAGATTTCTTTCAGAATACTACTGCTCACTGACAATGCACCTGGTCACCCAAGGGCTCTGAGGAAGATGTACAATGAGATTAATGTTGCTTTTGTGTCTGCTAACACAATGCTCATTCTGCAGCCCACGAATCAAGGAGTAGTTTAGACTTTCAAGTCTTATTATTTCAGAAATATGGCTATGACTGCCATAGAGAATGATTCCTCTGATGGATCTGGGCTAAGTAAACTGAAACCTTTCCAGAAATGATTCACCATTTTAGATGCTATTAAGAACATTCCTGATTCACGGGGAAAGGCCGAAATCAACATTAACAGGATTCTGGAAGAAACGGATTCCAATCTTTATAGATGACTGAGGGGTTTCAAGACTTCAGTGGAGCAAGTAACTGCCGATGTGGTGGAAATCGCCAGAGAACTAGAATTAGGAGTCAAATCTGAAGATTTGAGTGAATTGCTGTAATCTCATAATAAAACCTAAATGATGTGGAACTGGTTCTTTTGGATGAGCACAGAAAGTAGTTTCTTGAGATGGAATTTATTCCTGGTGAAGACGCTGTGGAGACTGTTGAAATGACAACAAAAAATTAGAGTATTATATAACTTTGTTGATAAAGCAGTGGCAGGGTTTAAGAGGACTGACTCCCAATTTTATTTTATTTTATTTATTTATTTATTATTTTTTTTTTTTTTAGGACTGACTCCCAATTTTAAATGAAGTTCTACTGTGGGTAAAATGCTATCAAACAGGATCACATGCTACAGAGAAATCCTTCATGAAAGGAAGGCTCAACTGATGCAGCAAACTTCACTGTTGTCTTATTTTAGGAAATTGCCATCAGCAGCCATCAACATTGAGCTAAGACCCTCTACCAGCAAAAAGATTATGGCTCACTAAAAG